TTTCGGACCACTAGATGGCGTTTGTTTGAGACATGATAGATTAATAAAAAGACTTACTTTTTATTAATCTGTCATGACAAATTGTATAGGTATTAAGAGTGTTTTGTTATGGTAGAAGGCGAGTTGCTTTTGATTTTGTTAGTGTTGTCTTCGATCATAATTTAAATGTCAAAGTAAAATGTTGAAGAGGGGTTAATTTCTGGAAGCTTCTGGAAACGAAGATATATAAGTCCGGCTTTCAGCCACGGGAGACACTGCTATCTCGTGCCTTCCGATCTTAACTAGTGTTTTGATTGCTGTGTGATTTGATTTTCGTAATATATTATCTGTTCAAAAGTACCCACAAGAGTGGTGAGTATGGTCTTAATTTTTCTTAAACCTATTTGTTTCTGGAACCTGATTAATTATATGAGTGCTAATCCATTCGTAGGGTCCCAGATTTCGGGGTCAAGACGGTCAGTCTCAGACGGCGTGCTTGCTCGTTTGTGGCCTTCTGGTTCAGACTCAAGTTTCTCGGTACCCTCTGGCAAAGCTGGTGATTGCGCGGCTCACGACGCAAGCGGACAGCCGTACCCAAGGGTTACGTACTTACTTATAAACTTATAAATGCAAATTGTTTAACTTTTATCAATATCTAATATATATAGCCGACTCGGGCGGACGAGGAAGTAACCTCCTGGAGTGAAGACGAGGAGGCACCGAGCACCATCAGCTCGGCTCTGACGCGCTCCGCTGCGGGTTTTCTTATACCCTCTGTTTTTTTATTGTAACCTTAATTTTGTTTTTGTTATTTTAATATACATGTATGTATGACTGAGGTGTAAGTTGTTTTCCTCTAGTGAATCCCGTAGGTTTCCCACACGCACACACATCTGTTCTCTTAAAAAGGCGCCCTGAGGTTATCTCATAAATCTCTCCACTGGGTCAGCCGGTGAGTAGTCCGCCTGAGAGGAAAAGCGGTTACAATCTTTGCGTTTGGAGAAGTGCCACGTCCCTGGAAGTTCATTATCACTTTACTGCGACTTCAGTAACTCAACTTCCAGGCCATACGTTCCGATACACTTCCGAAAGTAGGTGTTTGATAGCCTGCATTCCCTTAGCCACCCTGGTGCTAATGCGTCGGCCAAATTAGTGGCCGAACGGTTTGTTTGGATCGGGGTGAGGAAGGATTGGAGAAACTGGGCGCGTTCTTGTATACAGTGCCAAAGGGCGAAGGTCCATCGCCACGTTTCTGCGCCTCTTGGGACATATAGATTACCAAGAGCGCGTTTTAAACAGGTACATATTGACCTTATAGGTCCACTACCTGTATCGCACGGCTTCAGGTACTGCTTAACAGCAGTAGACCGATTTTCTCGCTGGCCTGAAGCATGTCCAATCGAGGACATCACGGCGGAGACCGTGGCGAAAGCTTTAATATCCACCTGGATATGTCGATTCGGTTGTCCAATGGATATAATAACTGACCGTGGACGACAATTCGAATCGGCATTATTTCAGAATCTATCGAAGTTAGCAGGTTTCGAGCATAAGCGCACGACAGCCTACCATCCGGCCTGCAACGGCCTTGTCGAGCGGTTTCACCGGCAACTGAAAGCTGCAATCGTATGCCACGCTACTGACAGGTGGACTGAGTCGTTGCCATGGGTTTTGTTAGGAATCCGTACTGCGTTTAGGGAGGATTTGCAATCATCCCCGGCAGAACTTGTTTTCGGAGAGCCTTTGAGACTCCCTGGCGAGTTCTTTGAACCCAGTACCGGCGGCAGCACCGACTTATCGGATTTTTCTGCTCGTCTCAGAAACTTCGCTGATAAGTTGCGTCCCGTTCCGAATTCGCGCCATGGTCACCCCAGAGTGTTTGTTTTCAAGGAGCTTGAAACCTGTGAATACGTCTTTCTTCGTGAAGACGCGTCTCGAGGTTCGCTCCAACCTGCTTACTCTGGGCCGCATAAGGTTCTCGCCAGGGGGGATAAAGTTTTTAAGATCCTCCTTAAAAATAAAGAGGCCACAGTATCGATAAACCGTCTCAAACCGGTTTACACACTGTCCGTTAAAGATGATTCTCCAGAACCACAGGTACAACCAGGTTTTGTTACTCGTTCTGGTCGTCAGGTAAGGTTCCCGGACTATTATCGCCCTTGACGGTCTCTGGAGGGGGGCGGTGTAGGGATCCCCCTACTTTCGTTTGAGTTTAATACGTTTTACACATAAAACACTAAACATTAACACATAGATTAATATTATTATTTATTTACAATATTTACACTTATTCTACACCTAAAATATTATTTACAAAATATATACATCATTAATACACACGTTTATAATATAAGTACATCATAAATAAATATTACATTTCACAGCGATACATATCGGTTTGTCGATATGTTTGCCGATAAATTCTATCGACACATCCCTTTCACTATGCTATCTAAATGTATAGCTAGATGAGATACGCGCCGGCAACCGTTGCGCGTGCGCCGTCTCGAACAGTCTGAATTCCTTACCGTTGTAGACCGCACGCTTGCTTACCTAAGCCCTTCGTACCGCCTAAATATTGTTAAAGTAGTGCTTATAAATTATTTATATACTGCTTAAATATCTAGTGATCTCTTGTGCTATTCTTGAACTAGCTATCTTCCTATTTAAACTGCTAATTGTGCTGTGCTTGTGCCTGTACCTTCTACCTACTGTACCTTCTGTTTATTTCTCGTGTGCTGGACAAATACATGGTGATAACAGTGAGTTGAACTCTTTTATTTACTCCTCATACACGAGACAAGTAGTTACTACCCTAGTACCTACAGTAGCAACGTGATGGGGCGGTACGCTTTCGGGTCGGTAAGGGGCTTGTCGTTGCCCTTCGGCAGTACAAGCAGCCTACCTTCCTTCCAAACGTCCGGAAAAATTCCCTCTTTTATGCACCTAGCAAACACCTCAGTGAAGTCAACAGCCACAGCACGCCAAACGTGTTTGACGATGCGCGCCGAGATGCCATCGATTCCCGGAGCAGTGTTAGGCAAAGCCCTGACTATACTATCTAAATCTTTTACCGACGGAGAGGGGGCATCCTCACCTGAGGGCGAGCACGCAGCCGCCAAGCGCACCTGTCGATGATAAACATCGTCCTTGGACAGGTGGTCGTCTGGACACAGGCTATGTATAAGGCTGTACATTGCGTGGAGGGCAAACCCTAGCGCACGCGGCACGGTAAGCAAGACCCCAGGGGTCCTGATTACCGGATTCGGCTATGTCACGAAAAAATTTAAGTTGCGCCTTCTCCATAGCCGCTCTATATTCACTCCTAGCACGATGAAAAGCCTCTCTTGCCCCAATTTCCGCCTGGCCTGCCCGTTTCCGGGTACGTTGCCACATCCTCCTTTTGCGCATGTTTTCAACCCGATGCCTCTCAACCTCTTTTGTCCACCATTCATAGCCATTGTCTCTCTTACTTTCACGAGATACTCCAAAGGTATCTTTTGCCGTACTTACGATTATACTATTAAACTGCTTACATACCGCGGACGCCGGCCTGCTCCATGTAATCCGACCCATACGCTCATGGATTTTCGATTCAAAGAGTTTCCAGTTTGCACGGCGATCCCGGAACCTAATCGGCAGCCCTCCCTGCAGCTCAGCGCGTGGAGCAAATGAGCCTGAGCTCGCCACACTGAAGGTAATTAGCCGATGGTCGCTAGAACTGGCTCCGATATGTGCACGCCCATTGTGTGTAAGGTGAGGTCGATGTTGGACTCCCCGTTAGCGGTGCTGAAGGTGTGCGGTTCTCCAGCGGTGTTCGCAATTCGGATTCTTCCTTGCGGTGGGTGACATCAGGGCCTCTGCCCCTGTACTGCCGTGGCTCGGAGAACCACATCGGAGAGTGGGCGTTGGTGTCTGCACATATTATTACCTTCCTACCGCGTAGGTGGTCTAGGACCCGCCCTAGCTGGTCCAAGTGTAGATCTATGTCATCACTGTACCTAAAGTAGGACGAGACGACATAAATGTCGTGCCCCCCCACATCCAGGAAACAGACCAGACAGTGAGTGTTGGACAGATGGTAAACCGTAGCACAGGGCAGGTCGAGGCGCGGTAAATATACTCCAGCTTGCGCACGGGTGCCACACTGCAGAATGCTAGTGGCTTCACTTGGGGGCATGGAGAACTGCTCCTGTACCAGGACTGTATCCTGCCCCAAGTCCCGCTATAAGGCTGGGAGCTCCCTGGTGGCGAGCTCACCCCCCCCCCCCCCCCCAGGTTTATCTGACCAACCTTCATCTTGGCTCTACAGTCCATAGTTAGTGGTGGAGATCAGCCTGCGTTCCGCGTTCTGCTGGGCGGGAAGTGTGTGTTCACGCATGGTGTGCGTGTTGGCCGCCTGATGGCCAAATTTGGTGCAGGTGGCGCAGCATGTTGTTGACGACTTGCATTCTTCACCTTTGTGACCCTCTTTGCCACACTTACTGCAAGTCGGTGCGCTAGCACGGCAGAGCTTTTCTGGGTGGCCGTACAGCTGACACTTGCGGCAGCAGGTCACTTCCGCGTAGTCCTCCACCACCACTACCTCCCAACCGATGTAGAGCCGCTCTCGGGACACTAGCGCTGTCCGTAGGGCTGGGGAGCATTCCAGTACTACGGTAGTTCGGTTTCCCCCTTGCCGAGATTTCTTGAAGGCCATTCTGGCCTCCTTTCTGAGCCTCTCTAGTGTCCAGGTTTCGTCCCCTCTGAAGTTCTCATGGTGCATGGCCACGACCACTTCCTCGAACTTGGGGTCGCCATCCAAGTTCCGAAGGGCAACTAAGGGTGACCTAGACTTTGCGTCCCTTACCTGTAAGGTCGCCGGCATTGCCGCCTTAATTTTTGTGGCTGCCTCTTGGGTTGGCGTCTTCAGGATAATCCCAGAGTTAGCGACCTGGCGGAGACCCACTATCTGGGCTCCTAGCTCGCGCGGTTCCACCGATTTCTTCAAGACCAGTTTCGTTTGGTCTGTTGTCTTGAGGTTACTGCCCTCCGCAGGGTATATTGCCAATGTTGCGCCTTATATTAAGTTGGGGGACTTTGGGGGCTCGTTTTAACGCCCTTGCGTAATTGACGGTCTGCCATCCCTCACCGGTCGACCCAGCTGTTGCAGCTGTTGCAGCAGCCGCTGCCGCCTCCGCTCTGGCCCGTTCGGCCTCCGCTTCCTTTCTTGACGCTCGCGCGGCTTCTCGCACGCGGGCCTCGTTTAGTAGTCCCTGGTTCCTTTCCAGTCCCGCGTTAGCCGTCTTTTGACCTTCCACCACAACGCAGCAGTGCCCCACGATCTCAGCGAGCACCCGAAGCTGGCCGTTAATTATGGCCAGATCCGCCTTGTTGAGGCGAGATGCCTGTCCGCCTGCCACCGCCGCGATACTTCTACACGCCGCGTTTGCCTTGACCAGCAACTGTCGTGTAGTCGCCCTCCCCAACTCCTCGTCACCGAGGAGGAAGTCCTCGTCCCCGGAGGAGAACGGCGACCCATATTCGGTCGCTGGGGTATGTACAACTGGAGGCGCGAGAAGATCAGTCGGGCCACTGACCACTGACAAATCGCGGGCGGTGCGGCGCTTTGGCTCTGTCTCTGCCTGGGTGTCTGGCGATAATATACGCTTAGCGGCCCTGGGCGCATGCGCTCGGTAGGCGCCAGGGGTGCTAGGCCCCCCACGGCCTTTAGCCTTTAGGAGATGCAGATGCTGCAGCAATGACTGAATCAAAGGCCACTTGGGCCATCTCCAAAACCTCGGGCGGAGTCCTGACAGACGACTCGCCCGTCGCGCGAAGCTCCCTTGGAGCAGTCCTTCGCAGGGACCCTCTCGGTCTGAACGGGTCCATCGGTCGTTGAGGGGGGCGCCCCCCTTCCTCCGACTCGCTGCTCATGATGTGTACACTACTCGTACTTACAACTTATGGTATAAACAAACAAAAATAGAAGAAAAAATAAAAAGAATAAAATAAAAGTATAAAGTTCTGCTGTGTAGTTCCCACCGATGCGATACACTGCTTCCTGCACACTACTATGAATGTAGTAACAGCAATTCACGAACCGAGACAACGTCAGGAGATCGTCAATGCAAATAAAAAAAAGAAAAGAAAAATGGAATTGCCTCACCGACACTCCAGTCTGCACTCCGCACTGTGCCCTGCACACGGTGTGCTGCGACGCACGCGTCACTCGCGCACCCCCTGTGGGGAGCAGCACGAACGAAAGAAGAGTTCTGTCATGATTAGAGCAGAGATATAGATGAGTGGAGAAGAGAGTGTAACACAGTCAGAACTCTCGAACTGCGGCGATGTCTTATAGGTAACCATGACAGTTGCGTACTGTTACACCCTGTCGATGTAGGCATTAGGGCTGACTAACAGACCCTGGTCTTGCTGAGCCAGCATTGATAAAACCGATATAAACCCTGAGCGCATCGGAGCGTCAGTCTACAATCGAACTCGGTTCGGGTCGGATTCATTATTCTAATTCCTAAATATTTCTATTTCCTTTATTTAATTCAAATAAATAACCTTCAGTGTTTTAAATACTTTTTTTTAAAAAGCTAACTGCAAGGTCCCGCATAACATTTTGGTGGCAGCGGTGGGATTTCGAAAATCCCTCACCCAAATACGTCTCTGAAACCAACTCGTAAATTGTGTTAAAAACCCTAATGAAGTGCTAAACCCAGTTTCCAAAAGTGAGTGCAGATAAATACTATACTAGTCAATCATTTCGTATGACCAACTTGTGCAAGTGCTTTAAGTGAAGTTTGAAGCTGATTCATACACGGAAGTCCGTGTTACCCAGCTGTGTGTAACTACTGGCTGCAGACCAGACGAGCATCTCATCATGATCCTGTTCCTAAGTGCGCTGTTCCAGTGAGTCAAACATCATAAATCGCTATAGAGAATTTCCAACTGAACTCAAAGCCACACTCAACAACGTAACTGCATTTTTTTGTACAATCCTAATATTAACTTTAATATAATACAATATAATATTATTAATTAATTCATTCATTCATTCATTCTAACTATCGCTGTAGAATTGTAGACTAAATACTGCAATCAGATTGTTTAAATTAACCATCCGGACACCGTGCAGTGACGCACAGATAAGGTCTCAATTCTTAGTTCTAAGCTAGCTTAGTGTGTATAAGATTTTTTACATACATTATTTTTGCTATTAATCTATATCTTGTGTTGTATTCTACTAAATCGTCATAATGACAACCAGGAGTGATGCCAAACAGGAAAAACCCGAAAAAACTACTAGTGTTCCCAGCGACGGTTCTACGTCACGCGTAGAAACAATAGAAAAAATAGAATTAAATGTTCTACTTAAATTCATAAAACCGTTCGACGGGTCCAGAGAAAAGTTAAACCCATTTATTTCCAACTGTCAGAGTGCGTATAATTTAGCTAACAAATTCCAAAAACCAATACTATTCAAGTACATACTAAGCCAACTAACTGATAGGGCCGAAAGTACGTGCAGTATAAAGGAATTTGAATGTTTCGAACAGTTCATAGAATTCTTAAAACAACAATTTGGAGACAGGAAGCATTATACTCACCTACTTTCCGAATTGCAGGAATGTAAACAAGGTTCAACAGAAACGGTAAACCAGTATGCTCTTAAAATTGAAACAATATTGTCTAAATTACTCACTGAAATTAAAATGTCAATTAAAAAGAATACAGAAATGGCGGGCCGCGTTGCAGCAATGGAGGACCTCGCGTTACACACATTCACCGTAGGTCTCCACCCACGACTCTCCCAGATAGTGCGTTGTCGTGACCCTGATTCATTAAATTCAGCTGTAGGATTTGCAGTAGCCGAAGAAAAAATATTATCAGCCTCTTACAGGAAAGTAGCCTTACCAAATTCCAACTACGCCGAAAGGACCAAATTCACTCCTAAACGTGATTTTCAAACGCAGTTACATCGCCCCCGAAACACACAAAATCCGCGACCCGACTTCATAAGGAAAATGAACACGGGAGATCTAGTCTCCCGTTACTGTAAGAATATAGGACACGCAATTGAAAACTGCCGTAAACGACAGTATAATAATAGCCGATATCAACCTAATACTCGGACGCCAAATAACTTGCCTCATAATCCACCTCACAGAACCTTCACCGTTGACTGCTCAGATGATACGGGAGTTGATGAAGTCGATCACAAAGAACATTTAAACTATTAAAATTTCCCGTCCGGTATCGCCCGGGAAATTACCCTTACAAAATCAAAGTCGGTACCTCTAACCCCTCTGTATCCACTGTATCTAAAAAGTCAAATGAAAACGACATTTCAACCACACATGCTACAACATACAGTAATTCAAAACCACTGAATCCTCTGAATCCTACTAAATCACTGAATCCTCTGAATCCTACTAAATCACTGAATCCTCTGAATCCTACTAAATCACTGAATCCTCTGAATCCTACTAAATCACTGAATCCTCCGAATCCTAACTAATCTTCTTTAGAACCCCTCTCCTGCAATCCAAAGGCACAATTTCCACACCCACGTATTCTGAAACAAAAGGAAGGTAACATTAGAATCTAGGAAATTAATAAAAACACAGAGAAAAGATACTTACCACATGTTATTATCCAAACTCCTGTCTCAGATAAACCCCTTTCTTTTCTAGTTGACACGGGTTCTTGCGTAAGTTTAATTAAATCAAGTTCTATTTCTAAAATGCCAAGGTTAAGTAATGTTATTATTACACTTAAAGGAATCGATCCCGGTGACGAAGTAACACCCACATTGGGGAGCTTTAGAATGCGCATATTTAATAATTCAATGAAACTTCATGAATTCCATGTCGTCGATGATATAAGCCTAAGTCACGATGGTATAATCGGAAACGACCTGCTTAAGAATTTTAGTTGTCAGGTCGACTACAGTAAAAGAATATTACAAATGGAAAATGATTCAATGAACTTAAACTTCTCTGAACCACTCTATACTATACCTCCTCGCACAGAAACTGTAATCGAATGTACTGTTAGTAACCCCGAAATCTTGGAAGGAGTAATTCTAGATCAACACATTTCCAATACCCTATTAATTGCAAACTGCATTGTCAAGGTTAAAGAGAATAATCGCGTTAACATAACAATAGCCAATACTTCGGAGGAACCTGCCGTTCTTCATTCTGACCTCAACCTTACTTTAGAAGAATTACGCGTTCAACCTTACTCACCTCTTTCTAAATCATTACCAAGTCCCAATTCCCTCACCAGAACCAATGAAGTTATCAAACAACTCAGAACCTCCCATTTGAACCGTGAAGAAACGGAAAGCCTGTTACAAGTCTGCTCTGATTATTCTGATATCTTCCATCTCCCAAACGAACAACTTACCTTTACTACAGCCACTGAGCATCGAATTAGGACAAGCACAGACGTCCCAATCCAAACTAAATCCTATAGGTTTCCAGAATGCCATAAGAAGGAAGTAGAAAACCAAATTAATAAGATGTTGGAACAGAACATAGTAACGCCATCAGATTCACCTTGGTCTTCACCAATCTGGGTAGTTCCCAAGAAATTAGACGCATCAGGCCAACGAAAATGGAGAGTCGTAATTGACTACAGAAAGCTGAATGACGTTACAATAGGCGAAACTTATCCCATTCCACAGATAACCGAAATTTTAGATCAGTTAGGGAAAAGCCAATATTTCACTACATTAGACCTGGCATCTGGATTCCATCAGATACCTATTTCCCCAGAGGATGCAGCTAAAACCGCCTTTTCAATCCCACAAGGTCATTTCCAATTTACAAGAATGCCCTTTGGTCTAAAAAACGCCCCTTCTACTTTTCAAAAATTAATGAACACATGTCTCTCAGGCCTTCAAGGCTCTCGCTGTTTCGTATATCTTGATGATATCGTAGTATACGCACCAGACCTCCCCTCAAGCATACAAAACCTTACTTGCATCTTTGAAAGACTTAGAAGATATAATTTAAAACTACAACCTGAAAAATGTGAGTTTTTACGTAAAGAAGTCGCATACCTAGGGCACATTATAAATAATGAAGGCGTAAAACCAAATCCAGAGAAAATAAAAGCTATCATTGAATTCCCAATACCAAAATGTGCAAAAGACATAAAATCCTTTCTCGGACTCGTATCCTATTATAGACGCTTCATTCCAGATTTTTCTAAACTAGCTAAACCCTTAACATCCCTACTAAAAAAAGATACACCTTTCAACTGGGAAAATAAACAACAATTAGCTTTCGAGAATTTACAACATAAACTTACTACCTCCCCAGTATTAGCTTATCCCGACTTTACACAACCTTTTATACTCACATGCGATGCTTCAAATTACGCTGTATCTGCCATCCTCTCCCAAGGACAAATAGGAAAAGACCGTCCAATAGCTTACGCATCTCGAACACTCAACAAAGCTGAATGCAACTATAGCATCACCGAAAAGGAATGTCTCGCAATAGTTTTCGGCACTAAGGCATTCCGACCCTATCTTTATGGACATCGATTCACTATAGTCACTTACCACAAACCCCTACAGTGGTTGTTTAACTGCAAAGACCCAGGTTCAAGGCTTATCCGCTGGCATTTAAAATTAGAAGAATTTGATTATAATATAGTACATAAACGAGGCAAAATAAATTCCAACGCCGATGCGCTATCCCGATTCCCGGTCAACCCTGTAGAAGGAGAATTACTAGTCCCCGATACCTTATCACCGAATCCCATTTCCGAAAATCCACTAGAGGATCCACTTTTAGAACTACCATCTCATATTCCTACTACTTTCGATGATGAAAACTTATTAAATGAAAATGTCAGTCGTAACCCTACTGCAGATACTGCGGTAAACCCTTATCAAAACCAAATTCCTG